CATTAAGGAGGGCACCTGATGTAAGGAGTACTGGGTATTATCTAAGACTGATCAATCACTGACCTCTACCTCTGAAACCAGTAATACATTATACGTTAATTAATTGAATTTAAATTTTAAAAATATTTTTAAAAAGACACATATATACAGGAAAACCAAACACCACAAAACCATGTGTTCTTAGATTCTAAGGTATGCTGCACAGAAGTAGAAAAGATAAGGTAAAAGACTGGGAAAGTGTCCTTGAAATAGGATGTGCTTAGGGCAAATAAGGTTGAAGACAAAATACAGAAATGTGCTAGTTCAGCAGTTCTAAAAGTGGATCTGAAGACACCCTCCTCCTTTCCCAGGTCCTTAAGGTCAAACGTATTTTCATAGTAAGCCTAGGATATTAGCTTTTTTTTTAACTTTCATTCTCAGTTATATAATGCATTTTCCAGAGACTATACACCGTATCACAGACGAATACAGAAATAGATAGAATACAATTATTGTTTTTATTAAGTTAGACACTAAAGAGATTTATAAAAATGTAAAACAATGCCACTTATTAAGTTTGTGTTGTTTTACAAAATTGTTATCTTTCCTAAAAACATTATTTGTGTTAACATGTCATGGAAATTATTGCTATTTTTCAGTGATTTCATATTGTAATTTTTTATTTTATTTTCTTTTTTTTTAAGATTTTATTTATTTATTTGAGAGAGAGATTGAGAGAGAGAGAGCACATGAGAGGGGATAGGGTCAGAGGGAGAAGCAGAGTCCCTGCCTAGCAGGGAGCCCGATGCGGGACTCGATCCTGGGACTCCAGGATCATGACCTGAGCCGAAGGCAGTCGCTTAACCAACTGAGCCACCCAGGCGCCCTTTATTTTAATTTCTAACATGATAAATATTGATAGATATAACCTACCTAAGCAAAACTCTTTACACATCCTCACTAATTTTTTTAAGAATCTAAAGGGCTACTGAGACCAAAAGCTGAGATTCACTGAGCTGGTGGTATTTACAAATGGATGGGGGCACTGGCCAAGATTCTCTGTGCAGAGTAGCTAAATTAGATGTATTGGACATGAAACTGCTCAGACTTTGCATAACTTAACAACATGTGTAAGGTACAGATACAGGCTTTTCTCAGCAGTTTTCTTAGAGCAAAATATAAAAAGAATCCTTTAAAACCATTCTTATCCTCCCACCTAAAACACAATATAGTTTCATATTCTTTTTGAATTGCCATATTCAGACATTTCTATATTTCTACAGTCTTCACAATTATCATTTAATAGCTGCATAATCATAATCCAGCATTCCTACAAACCTCAATAGCTACTTTCATATCTGATTTTTAATGTATTTTATAAAAATAAAGCCTCATGCAAGAAAGAATATTGCAGATTACTACCCAAAAAAAACTTACTTCTAGAATGCCAACGGATCTTATTTTAAATCAAACTTGCCTGAGAGATACTGTAGCTTGGAACACAAGGATAATGACATTTTGACCTGGAACTTCTGGAAACCTTGAATTCAGAGCTATGTCTCTCCCTAACTTTGAAGGCTCGACACACACTCAAACTCCCCCAAGAACCTGTTTCCCACTATTCCAGGTGCTACCCATGGTTCCATAAACACAATTAAGGGTTACACCGGTGCTTCCCACTACCTGAAATCATTGCTTTTCTCATCTCTACCTATCCAAAATTCTTCCTTTAAGGGTCAGCTTGAAAGCCAACTCATTCACGATTCTTTCTCAGGTTCTTTTCAATTGAACATTATAACCTTTTTGAGTATCTGGGTTTTTTTTGAAAATTTTATTTATTTATTTGACAGAGAGAGACAGCTAAAGCAGGAATACAAGCAGGGGTAGTGGGAGAGGGAGAAGCAGGTCTCCCGCCAAGCAGGGAGCCCGATGAGGGGCTCCATTCCAGGACCCTGGGATCATGACCTGAGCCGAAGGCAGACACTTAACGACTGAGCCACCCAGGTGCCGCCCCCTCTTTTTGAGTATCTAAAGGACTTTGTTTGAACATCACTCAGAATACAACTCTATTCTGCTTATCATTATTCTTTAGGATAGGAACTGTCTTATCAATCTCTACTCCCTGAAATACCACGGAAAAGAGGGAGGAAATGCTGAGGAAAATGAGGGTCAGATGAACTGTAACCTGCCCCAGGTCAAATAGCCAGTGATTGAAAGAGTCAAATTTGAATGCCCGACCCCACACCGTGACAAAGCCCATGGTCTTTCTACCATATCGTTCCATGCTCCCTACCTTATATCCTTTATGATAATAAATTCAAGAAATCTGTAAAAATGGAATGAAATCAGACTGGCTTTATCCTTAACCTCAAGGAACCTCTAAGATGGAAAAAAAAAAATCCAGATAAAATATTTCCTATAATTGTACTTTGGCCACCCCTGGCATCATACCCCTACATATCTTATTGTGGCCAGAAAAGCACATTAAATGTGCAGTTTTCAGGGGTGCCTAGGACTCAGTTGGTTAAGCGACTGCCTTCAGCTCAGGTCATGATCCCAGGGTCCTGGGATCAAGCCCCAAATCGGGCTATCTGCTCAGCGGGGAGCCTGCTTCTCCCTCTGACGCTCTCTCCTCTCACGCTGTTTCTCTCTCTCTTTCTCTCTCTCTCAAATAAATAAATAAACAAACTAATAAATAAATAAAATCTTTAAAAAAAGTGCAGTTTTCAGGAGGCAGCATTAAGACCAACAGCTGTTCCTGAAGTGTTCAATGTTTATCATCACCATATTTTCCTCGTTCTTTATTTGAGCAGAACTGGAGCTATGACTAGTATGCTTGGGACAGAGTAAGATTTCAATACGTTTGTTGAATAAATAAATGAGTGAAAAAAATTAATCATTTCTTCTGTCTGAAATCTGTGTTAACCTCCTCCAGTTCCTTTGCCAATTTGTTCACTATCATTGTCTCGAGCAATAGCTAACAGAAACACTTGTGTATTGGGTTATAGAAAATATAGCTGATGACTAGTATATTTTAATGTAATTTTTCAGTTTCTGAATGCCACCTGCTAAGCAGTTCAATTCTGCACCAAAGGCATTTCAAAATTATCATGTCCATTCACCCTTTCACCTAGTATCAAAACCCCGAGTATGGATTCTTCCCACTCTCCCTCACTCACTACATCTAATCCACCCACTTTCCACCAGTGCGTCTACTAGTCTCTCACCTGCCCTACCACAAGAACATCCTCTGACCTTCTTAATGATCTCCTCACCTCAACTCTTAACTCCAACTGTCCATACAGCAATTAGAATGTTATTTTAAAAAGATGAAATGACGTTACTCCCCTGCTTAAAACACTTTAATAGCTTCCATTACACTTCCAATAAAATAAAAATTCTTTACCATGGAATTCCTTACAGTATCCCTCATGAACTCCCAAACTCACTTATTTTTTTTTCCCCCACTCACTTCCTCATTTCATTCTACTCTCTCCCAGCAAACCACACTCCAGCTATACTGGCCTTTTTTGATCACTGTGACCACTAGATTATTACCTATCCCTGCAATCTCTTCTTTTCCTTTGCACTCATCAGAAGTTTACATATAATTTTTTTTTTTTGTCTGTCTCTCCCACTCTACTGTATAGCCCAAGAGGGCAATATAAAACTGTTCTTTTGTTTTATCACTAATATTGAATAAAGTATAAAACCCAGCATGTGGTAGGCACTTAATATTTCTGCTTCCCTATATACTCTTCATTTAGATCAACATGTATTATATATATTGTTTGTATGTTAGATAACAACATACATAGTTAATGAAGTAAATAATATATAATACATTACTACTGAATAATAAAGGATTTGGCAGCCTTTTGTACCAGGTTCCTGAGAAGTAACCCCTAAATCCTGGGATTTCCAGGGGGTCAGGAGTGTCTTTCTTATTCTTGGTGGGCCCCTAGACAGTTTATGCAAATAAGATTACTCGGGATGGCAGCTAGCCATGCCAGAAAGACCAATGTGTGATTAGAGGGCTGAAGTACCGGAGACTGAGTTCAATCACGTGGCCAATGAGTCAAGCACTGGTGCCTATTCAATAAAACGCCAATTAAAAACTCTGGACACCACAGCTCCAGATAGCTTTCCTGGTTAACAATACTCTGTGTGTATGATAAACATCAACGTGCCAGGAAGGTGATGTATCCTGACCCCACAAGAAGAAGATACAGGAGCTTCATGTTTGGGACTTTTCTAGTCCTTGCCCAATGTGTCTATTCTTTTGGCTGGTCCTGATTTGTATCTTTTTTCTGTTATAGTAAAACTATAATTTTAACTATAGGACTTTCCTGAGTTCTCTGAGTCATTCTAGCAAATTACTGAACCTAAGAAGGGTAGTGGGAACTCCTAAATTTATAGCCAGCTTGTCAGAAATGTGGATGGGCTGAAAATGCGGGAGCCTGAGGATGATGTCTGAAGTGAGGGCAATCTTGTGTAAGACTAAGCAAGCCCTTAATCTGTAAGGTTAGCCTAACTCTGGGTGGTTAGTGTCAGAACCACACTATGATTACATAACAAAGAATAGATGCCACTTCATAAATACGTGTTGGGCACCATGCAAGCATTTTTACATACATTATTTCTAAATTTTTAGAACACATTATCTCTAAGCCTCACAATAACCCCACACATTGGAATGATCATCCTAATTTTTAAAGTAAGTAAACTAAGAAGTAAAAGACACACAGACAATAAGTAATTTAAGTGGAGCCTGAATTCAAACTCAGCATTGTTTGACTCAGAAGCCCACGATCTAGTCACTACCCTCTCTAGCTTCTCATGTTAGTTACATAAATACAACACAAGATAACATCACAAGATTACTACCTAAGAATGCATGGCACTTGTGCAGAAAGGTCTCAGTAAAATCTAAGGTATTATTTATGAATTTACAAACTCTCTATATGAAATATAAAATATCATACGGTAATACAAATTTCTTTGGCAACTGCTTAACTTACTTGTTTGCGTTTTAGAAACATGCTTCTGGAGAAAATCAACTGTTTGGGCCAAAACCCTCTTATTACACTGTGTTGATAATTTTTCATCACATTCATAACACCTGAAAAAATACAAATATGTAAACAGATATTATGACAGCACCTTCAATAATATTGCACACCAGGTAATAAAGTAATAAAGTTGATATTTATCCAGTCTTGTCTTTAAATTGGGGTGGGGTGGGTGGGGCAAAAAGTATACATGTAGAGTGAGGCATTAGATAAGTCTAGAGAAATAAGCAGGAGACAGTTCATACAGAGCCTTATCATTCAAATTAAAGTCCTGGTACTTTATCCTAAGTGCAATGGAAAGCCATGAGGAGTTGTTTAAGGAGGGGAGTGATGTGATCCAATCTATATTTTAAAAACATCACTCGGACTAATGTCAGATAGAGGGAATCAGGAATAGAAGGTCAGGGTAGAAGCAGGAGATCTGGAGAATAATGAACAGATTTATTTTACAGAAAATTCAGGTAGAAACAGAGAAGTATAAAAATAACTGCCATGGAAAGAGGGAAGTGGATGAGGGTAAGTCAGTCATTCTCAAACAGGAGCAATTTTGCAACAAAGAATTATCAGCTCAAATGACAACAGTACTGAGACTGAGAAATTCTGATCTAGAGGAAAGACTTGTTGCAAGTTGGGAATGTTTAAAGTTGGGTGATGGGTACGGAGGATTTCATTATACCATTTTATCCACTTTTCTTAAAGGATTAAAAATTAAGATAAAAAAGGAAAGAAAGTGTTAGGTTTCTGGCCTGAATACTTAAGTGATAGAGGTGCCACTTATAGAGACGGGGAAGACTGGGTAAGTGTTTTGTTTTATTTGGGACTTAGTTGGGAAGAGAGAGAGCTCCCAAAGAGATTTTCAAAGCACATTACGTTTTAGAAAATTAGCTTCCACTAAGTTTACTCATTAGTGCATATAGTATTAATAAAGATTTCTTCTATGTATTATCATTACCTGCTTCCTTTAACTTCATAAGATCCAATGGTCAAATAAAAACATATATTTGAACATATTGAAAGTATAATGTGTTATACCAATACCACCTTACATATTCACAATCTTCTTATAATCAATAGGGGTCCTAAGATTAATGGCTATAAACTGTGTTTGGGTTCTTTTTCTAAATGGCACTGAAAATTCAGTCAAATATTTACTCATACTCAAAATACAAATATTACTCTATCACTTGCATACAGAAATACATAGATACATAGATAAATCTGTGAAGGAAACAAGTCACAGAAAACATTCCCAAAACATCTTTTCTAATAGACCATGATGGAATTCAAACAATGTAGAATTACCAGGTTTACACCATTATAAACTCTCAAAATTTACTGACATAACTATTGCCAAAAATAATAAAAATTGCTCATTTTCAAAATATTGAAATGTCAAGAAATTTTTACTGATGCTGCAATTTAATTTTTACTTGCTATAAAATGTATTGTAACTTTAAGAGTACAAAAAGAAAATGTGAATAAAAACCACACAATGGCAGTGAATTTGGAGTAAAGAGGACAGCTCAACATAAATTAATTCTACTTGTTTCCATTAGAAATAACCAAAAAAGGGGCGCCTGGGTAGCTCAGATGGTTAAGCCTCTGCCTTCGGCTCAGGTCATGATCCCAGGGTCCTGGGATCAAGTCCCACATCTGGCTCCTTGCTCAGCAGAGAGTCTGCTTCTCCCTCTCCCTCTGAACCTCCCCCTGCTCATGCTCTCTCTGTATCTCTCTGTCTCAAATGAATGAATAAATAAATAAATACACTTAAAAAAAATAACCAAAAAAATTTTAATTGAGCATCTACTTGTGGCAGGCACTGTTATAAATACTTTACATGCATTTTCTAGTTTAATTCCTCACAACAACCAAAACAGTATTATCATTTTTAAAAATAAATAGCTCTCTAGAAGTATAATACTTCCTTTTTACAGATGAGAAACTGGGACATAGGAGGGCTCACAAATCAGTAAGGTATTAAAAGTACAGGGTAAATACTACATCTTTCAACAAACTTTTGAGTACTTTAAAAGCACTCACCTGAAAAAGTAAAAAGATAAACAAAAGCACTCATCTATATGTTAACTGTAAGTGCTAAATCAGTGCCTCTGGTCAAGCATAAGAATCAGTATGGAGGGGCGCCTGGGTGGCTCAGTCGTTAAGCGTCTGCCTTCGGCTCAGGTCATGGTCCCAGGGTCCTGGGATCGAGCCCCGCATCAGGCTCCCTGCTCGGCAGGAAGCCGGCTTCTCCCTCTCCCACCCCCCCTGCTTGTGTTCCCTCTCTTGCTGTGTCTCTCTTTTTCAAATAAAAAAAAAAAAAAAAGAATCAGTATGGAACTTAACAACACAAAAGCCCCGATCTAACAGAGGACCAATGAATGGTACCTATGGATTTTTCAAATTCCACCTCTGTGATTCTGAAGAAAGTCAGAGATAAGAAACCACGGTGCTAATAAATATTATCTGTTAAAGCAGCATTAAATCCACTATCAAGCAACACTTTGTTAGCCATAATTTTATCAAATCTACCATATTCCTTTCTTTTTTAGGGTTTCCAAGTTTTTTTTCCAGTTCAAGTTGGCCTTTCTTTAATCCAAATTAGTAAAGTTTTCTACTGAAGTTGTTAAACTCGTTTTTTAAAGATTTTATTTTTTTGAGAGAGAAAGAATGAGTGCACACTCAAGTGCGGGGGAGGGGCAGAGGGAGAGAGAAAAGCAGAGTCCTCAGAGAGCAGGGAGCCTGATACAGGACTCAATCCCAGAACCCAGGACCCAGGACCCTGAGGTCATGACCTGAGCTGAAGGCAGATGCTTAAGTAACTGAGCCACCCAGGTGCCCCAGAAATTGTTAAACTTTTTAAGGTTTAGGAATTAGATGTGAAAAAGAAAATAGTCCCAACCTTTTAAGTTTCTGTAAATGCATGTGACCAGCTTGAAATTTCTTCCTTAGAAAGGAAAAAATTTTACAGACCCCCAAATATGACTTAAATTATTTTCATTATAATATAAATTTAACATTCTACAGACAAAATGATCAATAAATTGATCATCCTTATAGCTCTATACATCTATGAAAGCACAATTATACAATTAAGCATAAAAATAAAATTATAAAATCAATAAAGTTAAAACTAACAACACTATTATGTTAGGTAACTTTTTTTGGTTTTTGTGTTTTTTTTTTCTTTGCTGAAATTACATCATGATTCACACCATAATTATGGTCCTAAAAGCTACAACAGAAGTTCTGACACAGACTCACTTGAAACGGGGCTATTCTACCAGGTGCCACTCAACTCTCCCTCCACCTTCCTCTATTACTGTGGTCCTCAAACTGTTGGTCCCCAGACCAACAGCATTGGCAATACCTAGGAACTTGTTAGAAATGCAAATTCTTAGGCCCTACCCAAGAACTACTAAATCAGAATCTCTAGGCCGAGGCCCAGTGGTCTATTTTAACAAACCTTCCTGGTGATTGTGATGGGCCCCATTGTTTGAGACCACTGCTCTATTCAGGCTACAGAGAAATATTTATTGGGCTGCCACACTATGGCATCAACTCCCTCTCCCTTAGCTCCAATGTATCATTTACATAGTAAGCTGTCTCTATGCTTTCCTCATTCTCCCCAATATTATTACTTGGGAACAACAAAAACACAAATGCAGCAAGGACCTGACCCGTGCTACGAATTTAAATTATAAGATGACGATCTCTTCCATAAGTCAAAATATTGTTATATTAATTTTAGATCCCGGAAGTGAAAACACAAACTTAAAATATTTTTGTCTTAAAGAAAACTTGAAAACCTCTGAAAATTCATTCAAGGAAAACTTGAAAGCTTTTGAAAATTTTAGAAAGTTGTTGAAAAAAATACATATATATTAAAAAAAATTTTTTGTTGTAAAACATATGGAAAGCTTTTTGATACAGTTTCCATTTATGCCACTGAAGCCGGTGTGCTATGCTCCTAAGAAACTAGGGAATCAAAAGACTTGTTTTAGTGCCTGGATGTTTACTTTGTAACCAGTGTCTTTATATGTAAAATGAGGGAACTGGACTTGGTTCCCAGCCAGGATTAAGTAGTAGAATCACCCCAGCAGTTTTGACAAACTGCATATGCCCAGGCTTACCCTTTCCCCTCCAGGGAATCACCAAACCACCTGACTGCTTGAAGTACCTTCCTTCTCTAGAACTCTGGAATTCTGTATTAGCAAGTTCATTATGAAAAATCAACTAGGAAGAATGTTTCTTTATCCTACTTAGAAAATGTTTAAAAAAAAAGTAGAGGGATGACTAAATTTTTCCTTATTTAAATTTTATATTCATGGGTAATGTTACTTTTCTTAAAGTATTCCACAGGTTGTGTTCAGGCTAAAATGCATAAGGGGGTATAACATCTTTAAATATCTTACCTTGTAAAGCTCAAAGAAAATGATATTTTTTTGTAGTGGACACAAGTAGTAATAAAATCTAACTTACCATATAATCCATGTGCTCAGACTAATTGTAACACAATGAGATTCTGTTCTCAAACTCTTGTAGTGCTTCAGTGAATGATGGCTTTCTGAGTTTCTACCACATCCCTAAAGATGAACAGAATGCTATTTGTACAATTTACATGTAAGTTTGTTTCAAATTAATCAACACTTAAATCATACTCATATTAAAAAAGTTTGGGTTTTTAATTTCAAACAGGAGGGAAAAGTTTCAGAAAATAGTATAGATTCTCATTAAATTTAATTTCTTGCAAAGAGGCTAACTTGCTTTTTGTTATATAGTATTTGCCTAAAACAATCATGAGCTGAGTTCATTTCCCTATTATTTAAAAATGTATACACTCTCTGCCTTGCACACTGTGGAGCACCGAGCATCTTCGCAGACCAGTGCCCTCCTCCTATGCACACATTTTCTAAAATTGTCCATACCTCCACTCAAACCCCCTGGCAACTAATGAGACTCAGACCAATCACAGTAATTTCCCTCACCAGGTAAGTAAAGAAATAAGATCCAGTTCTGGTCAATGCGACATGACAGGCAGTCTCCTAGATGTTTCTGGGAAAAGTTTCATATATTTAAAAATTAAAACAAAAACAGGAAAGGGATGTCCTTTTTGCCCTCTTTCTGGCCTCTGGGGATGGCTGTATGATATATAATGCATGAAATATCTTCAGCCATAAAAAGCCATGATATTGAGGGTGGACAAAAGAAAAATGGAAGAAAGCTCAGTTTTCAATGTTCTTTTCATTGAATTAACTAATCCTGATGTGGTCCTACTTACGAGCTATGTGAGATAATAAGGATTCCTCTTATTTTAGAAAAACTGTAGACATCTTAAATGTTTTTCAAAAAATATTACAGATATTAATAGCTTCTAAGCTGTTAAAAATTGTTTAAAAAAAAGAATCCTTTCATAGAGAGAAAAAAAATTAATCTAGTAAGATGTAAAAAAACTTGGATCCATTTCTTAAGGATATACAAATAGGTTAAGGCAGGTCCAGACATGAGAACTACTGCAAGTAGGCTGGATTCCCTTTCAAAGTATTTCTAAACCACATGTGGTTACTTTCTGAATATAATATACCTTTTATTTTACCTTAACTAATGTTTCTAAGTTGAGCCTTGGAGAGTTCTATCTAAACATGAATAAATTTATTTTAAGTTCTAAACATTACCAACAGTCCAACTCACAATACACATTTAAGAAAAATATTTAAGACAAACTCACATATAAAAATCACGCTTCTCACCTGAAAACCACACTTGAGGCACAACCATATGTCAGAGGGAAGTGCTGGCTGCCCATCACAGAATCTTCTTTCTTTTAAACAGTCTGAGCAAACTGACCACACATTCTCAGCTATTGCTTTCTTCACATGATTCACACTGATAGCATGACTTACATGCTGGCAAGTGAAACCTACTGAATAAGACAAAACAAAATGTAAACATTTTCTTTGCTAAGCCAAAGTGCTACCATCAGTAAGCCAAAGTCAATAGCATTAAAATACTGTAACTAAAAAGCAAAGAGATTTGGAAAACAAAACAACTCAAAAGGGTACATACTGCATGGTTCCATTTATAAAGCATTCGTGAAATAAATTAGAGAGTTGGAGAACAGATCTGTGGCTGCCAGGGACTATGGATGGAGAACAGGGAGTGTGGCTATAAACAGGTAACCACTGGGGTGGTGATGGGACAGTCGGGTATCTCAGTTGTGGTGGTTATACAAAACTCTACACATGTAATAAAAGTGCACAGAGTTATACCCACTCACACAGACACCCACACACGAGGCCTTGCATATCTGGTGAAATGAGAATAAGCTCTAGGATTGTACTGATGTCACTTTCCCGGTTTTGTTATTGTACTATAGAAATACAAGATGTGAAATCAGGAGAGGTTGGGTGAAGAGTGAATGGGACCCCCTTGTATATCTCTTTGAACCTTCCTGTTCAAAAATAAAAAGTTTAATAAATAATTTACTGAGCAGCTACTCGGTCAAGCATTTTGAATATATTTTCTTCTCATTAAGATACACACATAAAATCTTTCCACAGAGCCTACCTCTGCTCTGATGCTATTTTCATATTATTGAGAGAAAGGAGAAAGAGGAACAAACAATATGGCATAATTTACAGGAACAAGAATTCTCCTTAATGAATGTTTCCAAATAACAAATGACGCTGCGTGGTCCTTAATTATCCTTTATAACAGAATCCCACTGGGTATACTGTGTGGAGACAACTGGCCAAAATTGGCTAGTATGTTTTTATTTCTTCAGATAACTGTGTTCTTCTCCCAAGGACACAATGACACTTCCACTTCTGCCAAATACCTAACACTTCCACTTCTCCACCTCATCTATCTCAAACACCAAAACTACAACTATCCACCAAAATTAAACAGCAAAGGAAAGACTGAGTAACTTGAAGAGGGAAACAGGAGTATGGACATTTCGACTTTCTCCACTTCCCTTCCCAAATGCACAGCACTCCTTTTCACCTATTAGTTAACTAGAGAGAGGCTAAGCATTCATTCCTTTTCATCCTGAAGCCTAAGTATGTGAGTCCTGACAAGTGACTTATTGTAAAATATAATTTCAATAAAAATAATGTGTAAATCTGGGGAAAGATTAGGACTTCTAATCTTACACCAAGAGCAAGGTATAAAAATAGACACAAAAGGAGTAATTCCAAAGCCCTATATTTGAAAAGCAAGGACACATGCCATTAAAGAAAGGGGTGTTCTGGGGAAGATTGATAGATGACCACATAAATACAGGACCTAGAAGTGGGTTACTAGATATCAATGCTTTGAGTTTTTATATTTTAAAATTCTAAGGGGAAAAATCATTCCATACACCTCCTATACCATCTCTGGGGTGGGATTTGGCCAGGGTATAACTTAGCTCTTCTCTGATTCTACAATTCAGACATATAAAACTGAAATTGTTAATGAATTCAGAGATAAGTGAATTCATGATAAAAAGGTCCCAGGAGTCTAAATTAACTCTACTAGCTTTTAAATGCCTCCAATATATACTTTTTATAAGTAAATTTGAAAGTTTGATGTTTTTTTACAAGAGTTAACCAGTGTTTAAATAGTATTCACAATCCTTGGTGGTGGGGGAATGTAAAAAAAAATTCTGTGCTAATAAGATTTCCTCAGTTTTCTGTAATTTGTTTGATCATACAATTGTCTAAATTTCATCTGCCAAATAAGTCCTCTAGGGATTCCTGAATAAAATATATAAATGTATTAAAGTCTATAGTTGTTTCACATTAACAAATCAAAACAATAATTAAAGTCTCCACATTTTTCACTTTAAATATTAAAAAACTTTACAAGGAGGTCTTCCAGTTTGTAAATGATGGTCTAAAATCAACACTTCCCCATTCTCCTCTCAGAAACTGTCCAATGTCAACAAGAATAGAAAACAAAAACACCAAGTTCATTTTCAGGAAAACCAAGAGACAACTGAAGCCCCAAGTCATAAATTCAGTGGAAGAGTCCCACCTCAACGCAGCAGGGATCAAATAGGGGTGCATACAGAAGGAAGCAGAGAGCATACTGCAGCTGTAGATCCCGTAGAGAACCCCGCATACTTTGCAGACACAGAATGAAACCTAAATCTCTGTGCTGCAACAACCCTGGCAGGAGCTCCCCTATATCCAGTTTTGTTTTAAGAAGCAAAAGAAGGTGGGAGACTAGAATGGAATTAGAGAGTATTATGCTAAGCAAAATAAGTCAATCAGAGAAAGACATGTATCATATGATCTCACTAATATGAGGAATTCTTACTCAGGAAACAAACTGAGGATTGCTGAGTGGTGGGGGGTGGGAGGGATGGGGTGGCTGGGTGATAGACACTGGGGAGGGTATGTGCTATGGTGAGCACTGTGAATTGTATAAGACTGATGAATCACAGACCTGTGCCTCTGAAATAAATAATACACTATATGTTAAAAAAAAAAAGATAGTAGGAAGGGAAAAATGAAGGGGGGGAAATCGGAGGGGGAGACGAACCACGAGAGACTATGGACTCTGAGAAACAAACTGAGGGTTCTGGAGGGGAGGGGGGTGGGGGGATGGGTTAGCCTGGGGATGGGTATTAAAGAGGGCACGTATTGAATAGAGCACTGGGTGTTATACACAAACAATGAATCATGGAACACTGCATCAAATAAATAAATAAATAGAAAAAATATATTGAATAAAAAAAAGAAGCAAAAGAAGGCAATTTCTAATTCACTAAGTGAGAAACAAACAAGCCAAATTTGCCAGAAACAGTCTTGTCTCTAAGGCAGCGAGAAAAGATCCTTCGGGTTCTGAAAAAACACCAGGGCTGCCTAATCTTGTTGGGTGGAAAGAAGTAAAGGCTAACTGAGCTCACACTCAAAACTCCAGCTGGTCTTGACAGTGCTCTGGCCCTCCTTCTTACACAAATATTCTAAAACTAACTGATCCAAGAAAGGTAACCCTACATTAAAGAATGAGAAATCAAAGAAAAATCAAAGCCATAAATTCTATCCAATATAAGAAAAAGGAAAAACAAATGGCACAGAAATCACTGCCATGACATAAAAATACAAAACAGAAGCAAATGCTCCAGAATGAGGTGGCAAAAGAGTAGGAAGTGACTGGCAGAGCTCAGGAAAGAAATGGAGGAAAAAATAAATAAAAACCACAAAAAGGATGACAAAACTAAAAAGGGCACAGTGAAAAAGACACTGCAGAAAACACTGTAAAAGATAAAAAGGAAAAGAGCAAGCAAAATGAAAAGGAAGTAGGAGTTTTAGACAATTTGAGAAAAAATAACTAGAAGACAGGCAAGGAAGAGCTAACAAAAGAATCATCAGAATCCCTGAAAACAATAATTTCACAGAATAAAACAAATGTTTAAAGATATAATTCAGACTTCCTTCAATATAACAATCTACCTATCCTGAAACACTATCCAAGTTAAAAACACTCGAAAATGGAAATAAAAATTAAAAACAACTTTTTAAAAGGAGAACTGAACTGGTGAGAAAGGAGGAAAATCCTCAGAAAAGCTGAAACAGAAGGCTTGAAGTTCAAGAGAAAAGCCAGCCCGGTGCCAGCAGCTCCCCAGTCATCTTCCAGGCTTAAAGGCCTGGCTTTAACAGGTCATGAGAAATGGAAAACAACAAAAAGATGCCAATTCTAAGTTACTTTATAAACTAAACAAAATCTCAATAAAAACATCAACAGGATGTTTTGGAACTAGACAAGCTAATTTTAAAGTTCATGCAGAAAATAGTGAAAATAAAGAGCAAAGGATTTATTGATTAAAAACATATATGGTTATTTTCCACAACACCACTCAGGACACCAGATATCACAATTTACCAGCAATGTCGTCTGAAGAGTCTTCATCACGAGGTATAGCAGGTCTTTTACTCCTTTTGGCTTTCTCAGGCAAAGCTTGGGAAGGTTCTTTCACCCGCATCTGTTATTTACTGAAAAGGTTGGGGGTAGGGGGAAATGAATACACTTTAATCCTCAAAATTAAAATTTTAGGTATTCTACTTAATGTATATTAAAATAGAAATGACTTTGGGGCGCCTGAGTGGCTCAGTCGTTAAGTGTCTGCCTTCGGCTCAGGTCATGATCCCAGTGTCCTGGGATCGAGTCCCGCATTGGGCTCCCTGCTCAGCGGGAGGCCTGCTTCTCCCTCTCCCATTCCCCCTGCTTGTGTTCCCTCTCTCTCGCTGTGTCTCTCTCTGTCAAATAAATAAATAAAATCTTTAAAAAAAAATAGAAATGATTTCCATTTTAGTTGGGCCCTAGTACATCAACAGAAGAAGAAAACATCAGGTGAAACCAAAGAAATCTTGGTTAAACCAATATACAAATGTACATTACATTTGACTTTTACCAACTGCTCCCTAGATAACATGATGTCCAGGTGGATGAAAAAACGAAAGGTTTGATCAAGGGAATAAGTGCTGCTTCCGGGTCATGTGCTCCCCTTGCCCTTTCTCCTGACCCACTAGCTAGGAAACAGTAGAAGCTGGAAAAGCCACAATGGACCAGGGATGGAAGCCATGTGCCCAGCACAGCAGAGCCAGCCTACCTGCACGGTATTACCTAGCACTGAACAACTAAGAAAGAAAGAAATTGTTTTAAGCTACTGCATTTTTTCTGGGGTTTTTCTCCACTTTTTTATTACGAAAAAATTTAAACTTCCACAAAAGTTAAAAGAATAATAAACACCCATATACTTACTACCTAGATTCCACATCTAGAACATTTTGCCCTATTTGTTTTATCTAAATATCAGTGGGTACAGAGAGACATATATACATGTATGTGAGTATATTTGTTTTTGCTGAACTATTTCAAAGTTGCAAAAAGCATGTATCTTTTTTAAGAATAATCACATCATTATCACAACTAAGAAAATTAACAATAATTCCCTATTCTGATATTCCATAATATTCTAGCCTCTTCAGCTGACCCAAAATTATCTTCCATGCTGTTTTTTTAAAAATCAAGACTCCGTCAAAGTTTGCACTTTGTATTGGTTATGTCATGCTAATTGTTAGCATCTTTTAATCCAGAAACTGTTCTTCCCATCTTATACTTTCCTAAGACACTGGCTTTTTTTTTTTTTTAAAGATTTTATTTATTTATTTGACAGAGAGAGACACAGCGAGAGAGGGAACACAAGCAGGGGGAGTGAGAGAGGGAGAAGCAGGCTTCCCGCCTAGCAGGGAGCCCGATGTGGGGCTCGATCCCAGAACCCTGGGATCATGACCTGAGCTGAAGGCAGACGCTTAATGACTGAGCCACCCAGGCGCCCCAAGACACTGGATCAGGACAGTACATTTGAGTCACCTTAAAGATCTTGTTAAAATGTGGATTTTGATTCAGCAAGTCTGGCACAGGACCTGAGGTTCTGCCTGTCTACCAAGCTCCCACTGGAAAGCCATTGCTGTGAGTCCATAGATCACGTGTTTTTTTTCTTTTGTTTTTTAAGATTTAGATTTATTTATTTTAGAGAGAGAGTACACACAAGCAGGGGAGAAGTAGAGGGAGAGGGAGAGAATCTCAAGTAGAATCCCGCAGAGTGTGGAGTCCAACAGGCGGCTCGATCTCAGGACTCTGAGATCATGACCCAAGACAAAACCAAGAGTTGGACACTCAACCAACTGAGCCACCCAGGTGCCCCCAAAGACCACACTTTCAAGAGCAACATTGTATAATGTCCTACACTTAATTTGTCTCTTTCTTCAAGGTGTTACTTACCTCTGTCCTTTATATTTTTTAAAAACCCAAAGTTAATTGTTAAGATTTTAGATAAAAAATTAAGCTTACACTGAAATTTTCATGGCTATTTGTTTATTTGCTTTTATTGATCAAGGTGGAAATCTTTCAACTCAATAATAAATTCTGAATCTTGGGGCACCTAGGTGGCTCAGTTGATTAAGTGGCCGATTCTTGATTTTGGCTGAGGTCATGATCTCAGGGTCATGCGACCCAGCCCCATATTAGGCTCTACGCTCAGCAGGAAGTCTGTTTGAGATTCTCTCCCTCTTCCTCTGCCCCTCCCCGTGCTCATGTACATGCTTTCTCTCTCTAAAATAAATAAATCTTTAAAATGAATAAATAAATTAATTCTGAATCTTGATTCAGTTATACTATATTCCACATATGGAAGCTTTTTAATTTACCATTTTATGAGCCATTTCTTTTAACTCCAGGGGTCATCACTCTTGAGCAGAGCGGCAACAAATTATGGCCTTCAGGGTTAGAGATGCACGAGGCCTCTGAGTTCCTTGACAACTTCATTTCTGACTGCCTTTTCCCTCCAAACTTCCTCACCCACTTACCTACAGTTCTACCTTGCAAAATCACTAATTCAAGTATTCTGTTCCCTAATCACAAATTCGAGTTCTTCCAGCTTTGCCTCTTCAGCCACTCCTATTCACCTTTAGTGCCCAGGCTGGCAAGAGGCTGCCATCTCACCAAGTTCTTCCATGATCACTTATAGCAAGGCAGGGAGATGGCGAAGTAGCAAATGGAGTGCTGGTTCTTAAAGCTTCACTTGGAAATGATGTCTGTCACATCTGCTCATATTTTACCAGCCCAAGCAAGTCATATGACACATTTAACCTCAAGTAGACATGGGGGTAAGGGAGTGGGATGTGGGGTGTGTACAAAAGAGTGCAACCTTCCCATGTACATTGAAAGAACAAAATATGTGTGCACAGCCTTAACAACCACCACATCACCTCCCTAACAAAACCCCAAACCTAAATGAACCCAATTAACCACTTTCTGCATGTCTGTATCCAAACAGGCTGGAGAAAATCTTGTAAGAAAGCAGACTGGGTCCACTAAATTCATAATCACAATCTCAACCTCAAATGGATCAAGACTTGCCATTATCTACTACACTTCCTGGAAAACGTACTTACCTACTACTCACACACACAGCCATGTGAAACCTTTCTCACTCTTCTAAACCTCTAACTCCTCCATCTCATCTCCCTACTTCTCAAAATAATATCTAGTCTTCTACTTTACTGAGGGAAAAAAGATATAATCAGAAGGCAAATCTGATCTTTCCACCCCCAAACTTACAGACTTACCTCCAACTCTTTCAACTTGATGTCCTGAAAACACAGGCATAACTAAAAGAATCCAGGAAAAATGGCCCAAGAGAAACTGGCCATACCTTTTCCCAGCTTCACAGATAACCTCTTAATAAAAATAGACATCAACACATACACAGTGCTTGCAGAATTAAAAAACAAAAACAAAAACAAAAAACCCCAGGTATTTGACCTACAATCTATAAAAGGTCTGTAAAAGACAGAGACTCAAACTTAACTTGGCAATGTAGTCAATTTCCAGTGATTTTTCTGACACATGCACTATATCCAAACATAGAAATAATTTTGGACAGTAACCCACTATTTAGCAATTACTTATCTATATAGCTTTCTTTTTCTTTCCCTTTTTAAGCAAAAAGAGACAAAATCTAATTACTAGAGCTTCAAGTAGTTTCTATCACCAGTATTTTTTCTAGGGAGTTCCAAGACCACCCACATATTTGGAGATTCACTGGAAGGTCTCACAGGATTCAGCATTTAGCTGTACTCATGGCTAACTTGTATTACGGCAATGTAGTATGGACATACAACATGAGCATAATGGAAAAAGACAAAAGTGAAGTTTGCAGGAATCCATGAGCAGGCTTCCTTATGTTCTCTTCCGGCCAGACAGGGTCAAACAGAGCACACTCTTTCCCCCAATAAGGAAAATCCAGCAATGTCTGTGCAATGTTTCTGCCCAGGGAAGCTCATTACAGACTCACAGGACCGGGTTTTTCCTGGAGGCTGATAACTTCAGCATAAACCACAGTGTACAGCATAAACTATACTGTTTCCAGATGCCAAACAAGGTGTAGCCTTGCAAGCAGAACTTTCTAAGGATAGCAGTCTCAGACTTGATATGTTAACTCTTTTCAGGACAAATAAGTTCTGGCCCTTTTTTCATGTGGTTTCCCAAACAAAACTTTCCAGTTTTCAACTTCAGTATTACTCTAACATCTGTCTTTTCTCTGCTGTAGGATGTACAACTAAGTTGTTTATTAATGTTTGATTTTTTAAAAAACATGCCATACAAACAAAAGCCCAGAGTCTCAAAAAAGAAAAAACAATTTTTTTCCCCTACCCTTGGACTCTTGGGCAATTATTTTCGGCGTGGGGAGAAGGACACACTCTCCTTTTAGTACCAGACTCAAAAAGATGAACAGCACTTACATACTTTTGCTGTGTGTGCATCACGCTCGGCTCTCAGCACTTAAAGATACTACCTCACCTAATTCTCACAAACACCTTATGAGACAGGTTACTACTACTTCCCCCATTTTACACTTGAAACTGAGACATACAAAGGTTAAGTGACTTGCAGAGGTCCCGGAGCCAGTAAGTGGTGGATGGAGACTTGGACCCCGGCAGCCCTTCTGCAGGGCTCCTAATACTACCCTCCAGTCACTAACAATAGCAACCCAAGTTTCTCAAGAGAAAATGGGTAGTGAGAAGAGAGCGCGGGAGGGAGGCGGGAAGGGTGTCGGCGGGGGGTTGGGGGGAGAGCGCCTGCTTCTGGAAAAAACGGAGACTCGGGTCCCTCCCTGCGGACCCCTCCCGCCCAAACAACCCCAGTTCCGCCGCCGGCGCCCAGTCTGGCCGCACTCACGCGGCCCCCGGTGACCCCCTGGAGCCCCCCGGGATCGGAAAGACGGAGGTGCGTAACAGGCCTCTCTCCAGGCCCGTCCTGCCACATGGGGCTGGGGTAGAGGAAGCGAAGACCGAGACACTGCGGATACCCGGCACCGCAGCCCCGACTCACCACGCCGCGCCAAGCAGCCCCGTCTACAACTAGAAGAGACTGCGCCTGGGCGGGCGACCTCCCGGTCGGCAGAGGCAGGACCTCCTGTGCCCGCCCA